TGTCACTGGTCCTTGGAGAGGCCTGCTTGCCAGCCTCTTGCCCCAGGACTATGGCCCCTGTGTTAAACTTTGGTTCAGGACTATGAAAAGGCTTTGTTCGTGCCTTTTCCTCTCTATGATATATAGGGCTTACCGAATAGATTAGACAAATGATGTTCGTATACCGAATAAACTGTCAAACGGACTGACCACCCAGAACCGTTGTGTGCTGCTTATTGCCCTTATTGACCTCGCTAACCGCAACGTTCTAAGTGGTTAGCTGGGTGGTCATCATTCGTATGTGCGAACATGTGGTGGCGGGCATCTTTAGCCGTGAACACATACAGAGATGTTTGGTCGTGCATGGAACTATAATCGGACACTAAACGGCGCAAACACCGCTGGGACTTCCATCTCTACATATGTTCGGCTGGATTTGTATGGAAGGAGCGGCGTTCGGTGGGAGCAACCCCCCGAACAAGGGACATAGACTGAGTGTAATCACGAACTGCTAGGTTCGGTAGTTTGACTGTATTGGGTATTCTCAAAAGAGACTGACTGCACAGCCTGATTTCATGGAACTCTTTTGGGCAGGAGCCTCGTGTGAGGTTGGTCAAAATAAGACTTCCATTGAAATCCTGAACTGATCTTTGTGATTTTTAGATATGTAAGTCCCCCAGATCGGGGCTATCAGGACATATGACTATATTGGGGTTTCCATGTGTTTTGGAGGTATTTTTAATATGTTATAAAAATGTGTATTTTTGTGTCTGGAGATAATTGAGTTAATACAGTGCTTGACTCAATTATCTCCCAGGTACAGCGGAAGGATTAACCTATTGTGTGTGGGAGTGTCCTGGGTCTGAGAGCCAATATGATTGTGTATTTGTTTCTACTGTGGTTTACTCTCAGGTCCAGGGGGGACTGACCCCTGCATGGAGACTTGCATTAAAGGCTTGTTGTGGCTATTAATAAACGAGTCCCTCTTCACCCTCAACATAGAGCCTCATCTCACGTGTGGAGGGCACAGCTGTTTCACTCTGGGGATTATAATCACTTGCTCTTTTAAGAGCATATTGCTACACTCTCTTGGAGGAGAGGTCTACCCACTGGAAGCTGGATCATGGTTTTGGGTCCAGGGTGGGTGGAGAACAGCGAGACCCCAACCAAGCTGTAACGCTGGAGGTGAGGACTACAGTGCTGATGGTGTCTAATGGAGTGCTTGAAGTACTCGGTGAGCACTAGGAGCATCGATTGGTGGAGGCACCAGGTCTAGGTGCCAGGTGGTCCGTCACAATGCTTATGTGGCGGAACCAGCCTCGCAACTGGGCATTGGAGAAGGCTGATTGCCAGCCTCCTGCCATGTGACTATGGCCCCTGGGATGTATTGCCTAATCTCCTGTACTGTTGAGGTTTGCTACCAACTAGGTGGATTTGGCTATGGAGCTTGTCTAGTGCCCTCTGTTGGTAGCAACAGCAATATGCACTACCTGAATAGCAAGACTGGTTCATTTGCATATTCGGATAGATTTGCATATTGCTAATTCTGCAGGCATGTGAGATATTTTCTGTCTCCCCCACCTCTTTGAAAATATGCCATTGTGTTATAATAAGTCACTGTATGTTGCCTGCTATGATTTGACTGTTTGTAATTTTATTGAGTTTTCACAGCAATGTTAATGTAATGACCATATGGGCTAGTCCCAAGGAAAATAAAGTTTTAGACAGTTCTTCTTTACCCTTCAAAACGTAGCTTTGTCTTGTTATTGGAGGGAATTGCTATAATCACCTTGGGGATTGCTATGCTCTGCATTCTCCCTTGAGCGTTAATCACTTAGCTCTTTTAAGAGCTGTTCCTGTTACGCTCTACTGGAGGAGAGGTCTTCCCCACACAGTCCTGGAGGACAGAAGCTGATCCAGGGTGGACAGAAGATGGCGAGACTCCAGTTAAAGCTATGGCGGTTGTGGAATCTGCAGTGGTTGTGGTCCTCGGCGCAAGCTAGGAAGCGTCCATCAACGGAAGGTACTCGGTCGGAGTACGGTGAGTTCTGTTACAGCTTATCTTGCAACGCTATTCATATGCGGATCAACAGAGCATAGAAGGAGCCAAATGAAACATGGCCAAAAGGCAGCGGTATGATTTACTCATGATTTTTGTCAAAAAGCTGTAGTGTCCTACACCTAGTTAGAGACTTACTTAGTTGCCCGGTCTCCATCCTACCATCCCACATCTGCTGGCTGAGATCGTCAATACTGACAATCTCAGCTAATCCAAAATGTAATCATAGGAAACAATGAGAGGCTAGTATGCATGCGTGGTAAATTTCAAGGCTGTGCAAATCAACATATCCTCACAGAGATGCACTGAATGAATGCATCTCTAAGGGGACCGTTCAGCATCTTCATGCAGAGTGTGGAAATGCTGAACAGAAGTCCCGCAAAGATTGCAGGACCTTGTCTAAGAAGTACCTTTGGTGGCTGTTTCATTGTCTGAGTGACAGTCACTAGAAGCAACACATACCTCTTCTTGCCCATGAACTAGAGGTGCATCTAGGCAGCAATAAGAACACAGCTGTTTCTCTTAAAGGGGCACTGTAGGCACCCAGACAATTTCAGCTCATTGAAGTGGTCTCGGTGTAATGTCCCATATCCCTGAAACCTACAGTGGTAATTATTGCAATTTCAGAGTAAGTGACTGAAGGGGTTGTATCCCCTTCAGCCCTGCAGGAGGTGGGTGCGAGGGAGTGGGGCACTACAGGAGCCTATAGTGCCCGAAAAACAGCTTTAGAATCCCTTTAAAAAGCAGTATTTACTATGCTTAACCTCCAGGAGCAAGCTATATGCCCCAGAGCCGCTAAATTAAGCTGTAGTGGTTCTGGTGACGATAGTGTCCCTTTAAGATGATAAGGCAAATGTTCCTTTATTGGGTTAAGGGAACAGGGACACTGCACCCAGACCACTTCAATGAGATTAAGTGGTCTGGAAGCCTATAGTGTCCCTTTAGCATCTGACTGAAAAACAAAACAATGAATTAATGCTGTCTGTGTGAGTCACAGCCAGAAGAGTTGTTGCTAATTCCGCATAAACTGAAGCAAAAGTGATTTACCTCCTAAATGGCAGAGATTTGAGCATAATCAGCATAATATATACACAAAAACAGCTTAATTAAAGGAACACTATAAGGTCAGGAACACAAACGTATTCCTGACCCTATAGTGTTTAAAACGTTATCTATCCCCCCTGCCCCCTATATATAGTAAAATCTCATTTGTATTCAAGTCTGCAGCTGCTGGCTCTGCCCCTGATTTGCCTGCTTGGCTGATATCAGAAGACAGTTTGTGAGCCAATCACAATGCTTCCCCACATGATTGGCTGAGACTGTCAAGGAGGGAGATCAGGGGCAGAGCCAGGACAAGTAAAACACGGCCCTGGCCAATCAGCATCTTCTCATAGAGATTAATTGGATCAATGCATGCCTATGAGGAAAGTTAAGTGTCTCCATGCAGAGGGTGGAAACACTGAATGGCAGCCACACTGTGAAGCACTGCCCCGGTAAGCACCTCTAGTGCTGTAATGTAAACACTGCATTTTCTCTGAAAAAAGGCAAAAAGCCTGAAGGGAATGATAATACTCACCAGAACAAATATAATAAGCAGTAGTTGTTCTGGTGACTATAGTGTCTCTATTAGGGATGTGCATGGGGAACATTTTCGGTTCGGTTCGGCATTCCGAAATTCGGGAGTTCGGCATTCCGAAATTCGGGAGTTCGGCAATTCTGAACTTTGGCACTTTGGTTCGGTTTGGCACTTCGGCAACTTGGAACTTCGGAATTTCGGGACTTCGGCACTTCTCTTGCAGCCGCTTAGTAGATAACTCCCTAATTCCCACGGTAAGACCTAAATTGGTCTTTCAACCAAATTTACTAATACTAAGTAAAAATTACTTAGTATTAGTAAATTTTGCCCCTACTTGCTATTCTGGATGGGGGCCCTAAATTACTTCAAGGGGGGGGGGGGACCTATTGTCCTCCCCCCTGGCCCCCACCCCTGAGCGTTAGGTGGGGGCCGTAAATTAGAATAAGGGGGGGACCTATTGTTCTCCCCCCCAGGCCCCCACCCCTGATCGGCGGTTGGGGGCCCTAAAGTAAATTAATGGGAGGACCTATTGTTCTCCGCCCGGACCCCACCCCTGTGCGGCAGGTGAGGGCCCTAAATTAGAATAAGAGAGGGTACCTATTGTCCTCCCCCCTGACCCCCACCCCTTAGCGGTGGGTGGGGGCCCTAAATACCAATAAGGGGGGGGAACCTTTTGTCCTCCCCCCGAGCGATGGGTGGGGGCCCTAAATTAGAATAAGGGGGGGCCCTTTTGTCCTGGCCCCCACCCCTGAGCGGTGGGTGGGGGCCCTAAATACCAATAAGGGGGGACCTATTGTCCTCCCCCCTGGCCCCCACCCCTGAGTGGCGGGTGAGGGCCCTAAATAAAAATATACCCCCCCAGGTGACTAGGGGTCCCCAAACCCCTAGTCATCCCACTCCTAAAAAATCCAGCCAATCGTAGTGCTCTGTGTCATTTTACACAGCGTGGGAAAGTTCTTTGGAATTTTCCCACGCTGTGTAATTTGACTCATAACAACACTGATTGGTGGATTGAAAGTAACTTCCACGGGTGAAGATGGATTATTTTTTTGCGCTCTTTTTTTTTTTTTTTCAAAGTGCGTCGGTTATTATGGATTTTTATTTGGCCTTTTTTGGGGCTGAAAAAAGAAGATTTTAGAAAAAAGAAGACATCAAATGGTAATTTATTTTTTTATTTTTTACAGGTACCTATTTATTTTTAGGGTGAGGGTAGGGGTTAATTTTTTTAGGAGGGGGGTGACTAGGGGTTTGGGGACCTCTAGTCACCTGGGGGGGGGTTTACATTTTTATTTAGGGCCCCCACCTGCCGCTCAGGGGTGGGGGCCGGGGGGCAGGACAATAGGTCCCCTTCCCTTATTCTAATTTAGGGCCCCCACCCACTGCTCAGGGTAGAGGTAGAGTTAGGGGTAGGGTTAGGTTTATGGGTTGGGTTAGGGGTAGGGTTAAGAGTTGGGGTAGGGTTAGTGGTTGGGGTAGGGTTAGGGGTTGGAGTAGGGTTAAGGGTTGGAGTAGGGTTAAGGGTTGGAGTAGGAACTCTGCTCCTAACCTACCCTTAACCCTACCCTAACCATACCCTACCCCTAACCTTGCCCTACACTTAACCCTACCCCTAAACCTAACCTAACCCTAACCCTACCTCCTGCCCACAGACTATGGGCCCTGCAGGGAAACCTGTAAAAGACTAGCGAAGTGGACCGACCATTAGCACTGATTTCATGGAACTATTTTGGGCATAGGACCATGTGCACGGTCGGTCAAAATTACGACTTCCTTGGAAATCCCGAACCCTTGAATCAATCTGGGTGATTTTTGGATATGTTGGTCCCCCAGATCGGGGCTATTAGGGGATATGTGGGGTTTCCATGTGTTTTAGGGGTACTGTTGGAGTGTTGTTGTACAGCATGTTTTTTCTGTGTTTGGAGATGATTGGATTAGATTAGTACAGTTCCTGATCCAATTATCTCCCATGCACAGAGGAGGAATTATCCAATTGTATATGGGAGTGTCAAGGCCCAGAGGAGGCGGGCTGAAAAGCTAGCCGGATAGGAGGCATGTGTGGGTGTGGTGGGTGTAGGTGTCACATGTGGGGGGGGTGTCACTTAGGTTAGGGGTGGGGTGGGGTCATATAAAAGGGCAGTCATTTTGTCCCTTACCTCAGCCATCTTAAAATAACGGCTGGTAACATCTTCCTCCTTGCTGCCTGTTACCACGGCTTGTCTAACGGCCAGGGCATGGACATAGAATCTATTTTGTCTGCTCTCAGGGCTGAGGCCCTTCAGGATGGAGGACGTCACCTGCAGTCACAGTTGGCGCGGCTGCAGGGTGTTTCTGGGTCGGCTGCTCCCCCTGTCTCCAGCCCCAGCGTCCAGCGCCGCCGTGCACGCCCCCCACCCGGTATAGCCCCTCGCGGGAGGGTCGGGTGAGGGGCAGGAGCCGGAGCCCTGTGGCCGGGCCGCGCGCCAGTTCCCAGGTGGCCGCGGCCGCCAAGGTCTCTCCCACTCCTGGCACTTCCTCCCCGAGCGGGGCTCGGGGAGAGCGGCAGGGGGCCGCGCGGCGGTCGGATGCGGCCCACGCTGCCTCACACACATCTCCCCAGCCGGTCTCACGGGCTTTGCGGAGGGCGGCCGCGAGACCGGCGTTCGGGAGGCATCCCGCGACGAGATCTGCACGGATGGCGGCTCCGGTGACCCGTGGGTTGCTAACCCACTCCTCCGGTCGGGTGAGTAGGCCGCAGGTCGGCAGGGTTGTTTCTGGGGGGGGGGGGTTCAGGAGGCCCTGGTAAGGCAGCGGGATCACCTCACCCCCACAGCAGCTCCCCTCCTGCTCTGCCCTCCTTCCCTGCCTCCCCTGGGCCTGCTCCTGGCACCTATCCTAATGCCCCTCAACCTACAGTGGGTCCCTCTGGGGCTGGCACTTCCTCCCTTTCCTCTGTTCCTGCCCCATCACTCTTCCCCTCCCCCTCACCTGCCCCCCTGGTGTCTGCCCCCCTTTCTGGTACTCCTGGACCTGCTCTTGGCCCACTGTCTGCCCCATCAGCGGGCCCTCTCAGGGTGGGGGCCCATCAAGGTTTACCTGCCCCCCCTCCCCATCATCCCGGGCCCTCTCTTGGTACCCTCCTTGATGGGTCCCATTCCACTCTTCCTGGCCCTACGCCTGTTGGTGTGCCATCCGCCTCTCCAGGTACTTTTACGGCGGGTGTGGGAGGGTTGGGTGCCTTTTCACCTCTGCTTTCTTCACAGATGGTCCCTGGTCGTGTGCGTTTCTCTGATGCTGGCGCTGGTGCGGTCCCTTCTGCGGTTACAGCTCCCGTGGGTCTGTTGCAACCTGGGGACCAGGTTATGGGGTCGCCGCAGCTGCCGTCACATTCCATTGTCGCTGGTGAGTACGCTGCTTTATCCGGGGGTGCTTTAAGGGGTCTTGGTGTAGGGGTCCTACCTGAGTGGGATGCTTTGATACAAACCATGAGACAATTCTTACAGTCTTTGGAGAAGGGTCATCGCCCTGGGCTCCAGCACCCTTTAGCCCTCGATGATCAGCTGAGGTTGGGTTGGGCAGCTGCTGGCGGTTCTGACCTTTCAAGGGTGGTCGCAGGCCCCTCTGCTGCACCTGCAGGGCCCAGTGGCCCTGTGGTGCCAGTTCCTCCAGTGGCGGAACTTGAGCCATCCAAGGGATCTTCAGATGACGTCACTGCGTCTTCGGGGTCAGGGGTCGCCCCCGCTGCGCATGGGGCGGCTTACATGTGCTGGTCAGGTCCTCTAGGTCTCCATTTAACCCCGGAATTGCGCACCAAGATAGAAAAAGGGGAATTCGTTGAAATGTTTTCCTTGCTCCCTATGGAGGATCTGCCTCGGGTTGATCCTGCGGCAAAAGACTCCGAAAAGGAGAAGGAGAAGTTTAGGTATCGGAAGATACCAAAAACTTTTGGTAATTGGATTAGGGCTTTCTCGATCCTGGCGAGCGTGATAGGTGAGAAGTCCCCCAATAAATGCTCATCTCTCTTTTGCTACCAGGATACGATATGGAACGCGTGCCGGACCTATGGCGGGTTAGGCTGGTGGCGCTATGATGAGCAGTTCCGCCAAAGCATAGCGGTCCGCCCATCGTTGAGTTGGGACCAGATGGACATTGGCTTGTGGTTGGCCATCATGACCCGCCCGGTGTCGCATCAAGGTGGCCTCTCGTCCTTTCTTGGGGGGGCCGGCGCAGGGTCCTCGACCGCTGCGTCGGCCAATCAACGACGAACGGGCTGTTGCTGGCAGTATAACGACGGGCAATGTAAATTCGGCGCAGGTTGTCGTTTCAAGCACGAGTGCTCTGGGTGTGGCGGATCGCACCCCGCCTCCAAATGCTTTAAGCGGGGCAGGCCTGGCGACAAGGGTGACGCCATGGGCTCTAAAGGCGAGGACGCCGGTGGACGTAGGCGCGATGCAACCGTGGTTAAAACGTTATAAAAACAAAAAGGCGGCCGCCTTACTCCTGGAAGGTTTTACGTTTGGCTTTTGGATTCCCCACCAACCGCGACCGGGGTCAAATGTATGCCGGAACTTGCGTTCGGTCTATGACCACCCTGGGGTGGTCAGGGACAAGTTGGGCAAGGAAGTGGCTTTGGGGCGTATGGCAGGCCCTTTTCGGGAATCCCCTCTCCCTGATCTCCGGGTGTCGCCATTAGGCGTCGTACCCAAGAGAGAACAGGGAAAATTTCGGCTCATTCATCATTTATCGCACCCCCATGGGAGTTCTGTAAATGATGACATTGCATCGGAATTATGTCGTGTCTCCTACGCCTCATTTGATGCTGCGGTTTGTATGGTCAGGGCTGCCGGATCGGGGGCACTCATGGCAAAAGCAGACATTGAGTCTGCTTTTCGCCTCTTGCCGGTTCACCCGGGATGTCATCATCTCTTAGGTTGTTACTTTGAGGGGCATTACTATGTGGACATGTGCCTCCCGATGGGCTGTGCGATATCCTGCTTCTATTTCGAATGTTTTAGCTCCTTTCTTGAATGGGTGGTCTGGTCACAGCTCCCTCCTTCACTACTTAGACGACTTTTTGTGTGTTGGTCCCGCGCATTCCTCAATCTGCTCACATATTTTGCAGTCGGTGGCGGATGTGGCCTCTGGGTTTGGGGTGCCGCTGGCGCCCGACAAGACAGTAGGCCCTTCCACGTGCCTGTGTTTTCTTGGAATTGAGATTGATTCAGTTATCGGGGAATGTCGGCTCCCGGTGGACAAATTGGTAGATCTACGGGGGTCGGTGCGGGAGGCGGGCTCCTTGCGTAAGATCACTCTCCGACGCCTTCAATCTCTCTTAGGCAAGCTAAACTTTGCCTGCCGGATCATGCCTATGGGCAGAGTATTCAACAGGCGTTTGGCGGCCGCCACGTCTGGAATCTCGAAGCCCTTCCACTTCATCCGCTTAACTAAGGCCCTCAGGGAGGATCTGGTAGTCTGGGCTGTTTTCCTTGAAACTTATAACGGGAGGTCTTATTGGCAGCAGCCAGAAGTTTCGAATGCAGCCCTTCACTTGTTTACAGATGCTGCGGGTTCCTCGGGTTTTGGGGCTATTCTGGGGTCTCATTGGTGCGCGGAACCTTGGCCTGTATCTTGGGTCGATTCAGGCCTTACCAAGAACATGGCGTTCTTGGAACTCTTCCCCATCTTGGTGGCTGTTCACCTTTGGGGTACGGAGCTCAAAGACAGGCGTGTCGTCTTCCACTGTGATAACCTGGGTGTAGTTCAGGCCATCAATAACCTGACGGCCTCTTCCCCTCCAGTGGTTAGGCTATTGCGACAGCTGGTTTTGCAATGCTTGTCTCTGAACATAACGTGCCGTGCTGTGCATATTCCCGGGGTCATGAATACTACGGCTGACTCTCTTTCTCGCTTTCAATGGCAGGTGTTTCGGAAAGCCGCTCCAGGAGCAGACTTGGAAGGCCTCCCCTGTCCCAGAGAACTATGGTCCCTTGGCCTGAGCGGATAAGGGAATGGATACGGTCCTCGGTGTCTGAGGCGACATGGGTCCGGTATGGTAAGGCTTGGGGGGAATGGGTTGCTCTTGAACAGGATTGCGGGGGTTACACTTCCTCGGCAGAACGGGTTCAAGGTTTGTTACGTTTGCTTTGGTTTTGGGAGGCTTGCGGGTGTTCCCCGTCTACTGTTTCGGGGAAGCTTTCTGGTCTCAGTTTCTGGTTTAACCTAACTCGGGTGCCGGATGTCACAAAAGATTTCATGATTAAGCTTGCGATGCGTGGTTGGCGTAGGGGCCCTCGTGGGCAGGATTCTCGTAGGCCGGTCTCGGGGGCGCTTCTGCTAGGAATTGCCTCAGTGCTACCGCAGATATGTTATTCAGCTTATGAAGCTAGTTTATTTCGTTTGGCTTTCATTTTTGCCTTTTTTGGGGCCCTCCGGATTGGGGAACTAGTCAGCCCGAGCAGGGGGACTCCGGGGGGCTTGTTATTTCATGATGTGTTCCTCTTGGATGGTGCGGTGCGTTTCTTGATACGGCGGTCAAAAACTGACGTTGTTGGGAGAGGTCGCTGGGTTACCCTTCGCACCATCCCTAATTCGTCTGTTTGCCCAGCCTCTGCGTATCAGTCCTACTGCTCCATACGCCCGAATCTTGCGGGTCCGTTGTTAATACACGAGGATGGTACTTACCTGTCTCACTTTCAGTTCCTCAGAGTATTTCGGTTGGCGCTCGACAAGCTGGGAATCCCGAGTGGTAAATTTGGGGGTCATTCCTTCCGGATTGGGGCGGCTACAGAAGCCTCTCGGTTGGGTTTTTCTGATCAAGTGATTCAGAGGATTGGGAGGTGGGAATCTGGGAGGTTTCGTTCTTATATCCGGCCCACGCGTCTGATGGGTGCCCCCCTTGTGTTTTCTCCGCAGGGTCCGGCCGACGGATCTGGCTGATTGGGCATTCATATATCTACTGGGCCCACCTGCGGGCAGGGGTACGCCCGGGTGGGACGCGACTTGGAATTCCCCGGGAGCTGGCTGAGGTCCGATGGTTCGGTTTTCGGGGCATGCGCTGGGGCCAGCTCTTGCCGGAGGTGTTACAGTTGGCTACATTGTTGGGGGCCCCTGATGTATTGGTGATACATCTGGGGGGAAATGATCTTGGGGCGCTGCCTGCTTGGGGGCTTAGTGAGCTCATTAGACAGGATTTGGCGCGCTTGCTAGTCCTCTTCCTGCAGCTTTGCTTAGTCTGGTCAGGTATAGTATCTAGGAACTATTGGCGCCGCGCAAGGGATCAGGGGGCGATTGAGCGCTGCAGGGTGAAGATCAACAAGAGGGTGTCCAAATTCGTACTCGGGGTTGGGGGTGTCACAGTGCGATCTATTTTCGCCCGGACGGGGTTCATCTCACGGATGTGGGTTTGGATTTATTTAATCTGGCGCTGCAGGACGCGTTAGAGCAGGCCATGGCGGTTGTGGGGAGTCGCGCCCGCTGATTTAGGCTTAAATGCAGCAGGCGCTAGTGGCGGGTATGGTCCTTGCCACAATAACCACTACCTACACACAAGGCCCAGAGGAGGCGGGCTGAAAGCTAGCCGGATAGGAGGCATGTGTGGGTGTGGTGGGTGTAGGTGTCACAAGTGGGGGGTGTCACTTAGGTTAGGGGTGGGGTGGGGTCATATAAAAGGGCAGTCATTTTGTCCCTTACCTCAGCCATCTTAAAATAACGGCTGGTAACATCTTCCCTCCCGCCCACCCTTGATTGTTGATTGTTGATTGTTGTATATCTCTAACTTTCTCTCTTGTCACAGCTGGCGGGTATGGTCCTTGCCATAACCAGTTGGAAAACGAGTGCACCGGAAGAAGGAATGCTGGGTCTGGTCCCTCCCCTAACCTCGGAGAGTTTTTGGTAGTTGGGCGTGCCCCCCGTGCCAGTAAAAGGCAGCCAGGGGTTGGCATGGGGTATTGGAAGGCCAAGGTAAAAGGCCAGTTATCTTGGACGAGGGGGGAGGGCAGGTACCCTGGTAGGGGGTACTCTAGAGTTATTATGGGTCGGTTGGCAAGGACAAAAATTTTCGAGAAAAATATTGGCTGATTTATTTATGCTGTTATTATAAATAAAGCTGTGGCCTGTTTTATACCACATTTATGTCTCTTGGTTTTAATTGGGGGAAAAACGGGATAACGTAATTTTGATTGCATTGGTTCGCACCGCACAATAACCACTACCTACACACATGTATTTGTGTCATTGGTCTGTGACTTTGTGCTGCAGTCCCCCACATGGTCCAGGGGGGAGTTCCCCTTGCATGGGGACCTGCATATAAGGCCAGTTGTTGCTGCCATTAAACAGATTCCAGCTTGCACTCCAAAACTGTGTCTGATCCTGTTATTGGAGGGAAAGAAGATTTAACCCCTGTGTCTGCTGTTCCGGCTTGCTGGACTGAATGGGGAAAGTCCTTGTAAGGACTAGAGTTCCCAGGACTGAGTGTCGTCCAGTGCCTGGGGCTTTCTAAAGCGAATTCCCCATTCGGCTCCAGGAAGTAGCGGTTCCAGGGCCCCAGTCAAGCCACAGCGACTGTGGGCAGAAGTGCTGCGGTTTGTCCCCTGTTCATGCTCACTCAATGTAGACCTGCTTACTGAGTTCAGGAGGTACGCTCACTCAATGCAGACTTGCCCACTGGGTGCAGGAGATGCGCTCACTCAATGTAGACTTGCTCACTGGGTGCAGGAGACATGTTCACTTGAGTGCAGGAGACACGCTCACTCATTGTAAACCTGCACACTGAGTGCAGGAGACATGCTCACTCAATGTATACCTGCTTACTGAGTTCAGGAGGTACGCTCACTCAATGCAGACTTGCCCACTGGGTGCAGGAGACGCGCTCACTCAATGTAGACTTGCCCACTGGGTGCAGGAGACATGTTCACTTGAGTGCAGGAGACGCGCTCACTCATTGTAAACCTGCACACTGAGTGCAGGAGACATGCTCACTCATTGTAGACCTTCTCACTGAGTTCAGGAGATGTGCCCACTCAATGCAGACCTGCTCACTGGGTGCAGGAGGTGCACTCAATGTAGACTTGCTCACTGAGTGCAGGAGACGCGCTCACTGAGTGTAGACCTGCTCACTGAGTGCAGGAAAAGTGCTCACTCAATGCAGACCTGCTCACTGAGGGCAGACTAGATAGGCTGAATGGTTCTTATCTGCCGTCACATTCTATGTTTCTATGCATACCTGCTCACTGAGTGCAAGAGACGTGATCACTCAATGCAGACCTGCTCACTGAGTGCCGGAAACATGCTCACTCAATGTATACCTGCTCACTGAGTGCAGGAGACGTGCTCACTCAATGCAGACCTGTTCACTGAGAGCAGGAGATGCGCTCACCCTCGGAGTGAGAAGACAAAATAGCCAAACTGGAAAAATCCTTAAAGAGGCACTATAGTCACAAAAACAACTTTAGCTTAATTAAGTGGTTTTTAGTGCATAGGTCATGCTTCTGCTGTCTCACTGCTCAATTATCTGTCATTTAGGAGTTAAAGCACTTTTGTTTATGTCTATGCAGGCGTAGCAACACCTCCACCGGCTGTGACTGACACCGCCTGCCTGAAAACATAATGGTTCCATTTTCAATCAGATGTTAACTTACTTTAAAAAAAATTGTATCTCCTGTTCTGTAAATTGAACTTTAATGACATACAGGAGGCTTTTGCAGGATATAACAATCTATTAACAGAGCAGGAGATAAGAAATTCTAAATTAAACAGAATCTACAATAAAGGAAGTTTATACATTAGACCTCTTTTTACAGGAAGTGTTTAGAAAGGCTGTGTAAGTCACATGCAGGGAGATGTGACCAGGGCCGGACTGGGGATACAAAGCAGCCCTGGAAAAAAAATTTGTGCCAGCCCCATAAGTCACTGCGCCATATATTGTCGCGTGTAATATGTAAGGCTATGTCTTGCCAGGACAGATGATTGAGTAATATATATATATATATATATATATATATATATATATATTGCTTTTTCTAATATAAAATATTGGTCCTTTCAGGGTAAAACGTTTAATTATACAGTAAGCATACGCACATGCAGACACAGGCAATTTCACTGACATTTCAGTGACACACACAAGCTCATTGATACACAGCCTCATAGACAAACAATCTTACTGATATACATCAGCTCATTGACATAAAAACACAAGCTCACTCACTAGCAGGCACACGCATGCAAGCAAGCTCACTCACTAGCAGATGCACACACAGCTTAATGTGGTGGTACTGGTGTCTATAGCATGTCCCTACAGGCTTTTCAACGTAAACACTGACTTTTCAGACAAAAGGCAGTGTTTACATTGCTTCAAAGTGACACTGCTAGTGACAGTCACTCAGACGGTCACTAGAGGTGCTTCCTGTGTTAGTGCCCTCGCCCTCGCGCGCTGCTGAATGAGACTGGCGCCGGAATATGACGTCATATTCCGGCGCCGGTCTCATTCAGCTGCGTGCTGGGGAGCAGAGCCAGCGCAGCTCGCGCAGCTCCCTCAGCGGCCGCCAGGACAAGTCCGCCAGCGGCCGCCAAAAGACCTCCCCAGCGGCCAGGGGAGGGCTGGCAGCCTTAGGCCTGGGGGGCAAAACCAGTCAAGTAGACTGGTGCACCTGCCCAGGATCAGAGCCGGTGCAAGGATTTTTGCCGCCCTAGACAAAATAAAAATTTGCTGCCCCCACATGTCACATCACAATGCCCCACCCATATGATCTGCCATATGAACTAACGCCAGTGCTGCACACAGTGTGTGTTTACATTAAAAAGCCTGCAGGGACCAGCTATAGACACCAGAACCACTTCATTAAGCTATAGTGTCCCTTTAATGTGAGGTAAATTATAGATTAGTGTCACTAATAATATACTAGATTGCCTACTTACAAGCAGATGAGGATGATGATGGGCTGCAGTTTGGCTCCACTGGTCTGGTGTAGAACAGGATCTCTGGAGGCTGTTTGCAACTGTGGTCACAAAATTCAATGTTCTGGGAGAATTGGAAGCAGCTCCATTTTTGGGGGGCCCCTTACACAGCTCAAGGTCTGGGCCCCAGGGCCTGAAGGTGAGTATGCCCATAAGGCCCACTCATAAGTTCTACCCACCCATGAGTTCACTCACAGGGAGTGGAGTGTGTAGGGGATGTGTTATGTGTTATTGTAGAGGATCTAATATGTGTGCTTATGGTATGTAGTGTTTAGGGTTACCAGTTTGTGCAGGTGATGCAGTGTTTGTGTGTAATGGAAGCAGTGTGTGTTTGTGTATAAGGGATGTATTATGTGTTTCTGGTTGTGTGTAAGGGATGCATTGTGTGAATCTGTGTTTGTATGCATAAGGGATGCAAGGTGTGTGTCTGTATGTGTGTGCATGAGATGCATTGTGTTTCTGTGTGTATGTAAGAAAAGTGTGTGTGTTTGCATGCGTGTGTACGGGTTTGCATTGTCTGTTTCTGTGTATGTGTGCAAAGGATTCATTGTCTTTGTGTGTAAGGGTTGCATTGTGTGTGTGTGTGTAATGGATGCATTGTGTGTTTCTCTGTGTGTAAGGGAAGCATGTTGTGTTTCTGTGTATGCATAGGGATGCATTGTGTGTGTGTGCGCGCGTAGTGTGAAAGAGCTCCCTGTCTTGGCCCCTGTCCTATAGAGCTGCCCCTTCTTCTTATTCC